GCTGGAATATCTCTTTTTCAGTAGTAACTAGATTTAAACGCTGTCTGTCCTAACAAAGGGTTAAAGACTTAGAAGCATTATATGTAAATGAGAGACAGTTCAATCTGTTTGTCCCTCTTCTTTCACTTTCAAACTGCTCAGAGTAGTTTGAAATCTGCACAAAGGCAAAAGTATTGTTGGTATACTCTGTGAATGAGATCACGTAAACATAAAGCGGGAGTTTTCTTAAATCTACAAAAGTGGAGATACACCTTAACAATGCATCAGTTAAATTGCTGGGACCAGTATTTGCAGCACTTCTGGACATTGTTGCACCCTATTTAAAATGAATTCACTGTTAATGATATGATAGAAATCTGTCTGATTCCCGTTAGAAATAAAAATGAAATCCATTTTTTTTTTCAAATCTATTAAAAGGAACACAAATGTTTCTAAACAAATATTGGAATATCTCCAGGTGATTGCAGCCATCAGCATCTTGTAATGATTAATGCTCACATTTGTAGACTAACTCATAGCGGTAATCAGAGCTGGTAGCCCGACCTTTAAACAAATGTCACAGTGTATGCCACTATTAGTCGGCTAAAAATATAACTGTTTCTTACTTGGGATATAATGTCAAGGCTTACATAAATGTGAAAATGACCGTAAACATATTTCATTACCATTCTGTCTATTCATACTTCATATGCCATGTAAGCATTGCGCAATCCAGCAATGGATGGAAGGTAAAGTAGTGTTAAACTCCCAATCATTTTTACAATAATGAATCCAGCTCAAACATATATTGCCCACCAAAGAACTTCTTTACACTTTTACCCAAGACCTTACAGTCATCATGTTTTCATACAGCTGGCTCCAACACTATCAGCTAAGCTTCCCTGAACTTCCTGTCCGGTACAAGATGACAAGGGACAGAGCAGCCTCCAGTAGCTGTCCACCCAGTGGCGTCACAAGGGGGGGTGTGGCCCGCTCAGGTTTCTGAGCCTGATGAAGGGGTACTGCTGAGACCCCGAAAGCGCTTGTACTGAATGGCAATTTGTCATTAAAGGACTTCTTGCTTCAAAACTCTTTGGTGTGCTAGTGACAATCCTTACTATATTTGCATTATTCACGGTGCCGTCAGTGGTCGCTGCAAGCACCCACCTGCTTTGCAGGTTCACTACTATTCTGGTAAGGAGTGCAGCTGATTTTCTACTACATGTAACATTGGAGGGGTGACACCAAAATGACTGGCAGTCATTTTGGTGTCACCCCTTATGAAATGTCAGGCACTCGGTCACGGACCGAGAGCCCGACAGTGTCAGGAGAGAGGAGGGGACCAGGCGGCATACCTTATCCCGCCGGGTGAACGTCCCCTCCTCTCTCTGCCAGCGTCCATCACCAAGATGGCAGGTGTCAAAAAGACAACCGCGCGTGCGTGATGACGTCACAGCGGGGTGTCACCCTGTCCTCGGGTGACACCCACCCTCGGGTCGCCACTGTGTCCACCTACTAGCTTGAAGGAGGAACGAGGGAAAAAAGTGGAGCAGAGAAAAGGGGAGTGGTTACCCTGCTGTGCCTGTGTATTTGTGGAGACACACACAGCTTAGTAGCACCCACAAGGGTGGTCCTATAGGGCCCTGCAAGGGAAAGAGGCCACCCTAAAACAGTATATCAGGCACTGTGATATAAAACAGTGGCCGGCACTGTGCTGCAGTTCCCTATCTCAGCCAGCAAGTGGCAAGGGTATATATAGAAATATCATGGTCAGTTGAGGGGGAGATCATTTGGAGCAACAGTTACATACTTGCCACTAGCGCGCATTTGTTTATTACAGGTATTTATATAGCGCTGACAATTCTATGCCGCGCTTTACATAGTTGCACATTATTATTCAGGATTCATATAGAGCCAACAGTTTGGGAAGTGCTTTACAATATAAGGAAGACATGACAATTGCAATACAATTCAAGACAAGATGGTAAGGAGGGCACATTCACATCAGTCCCTGCCCTCAAGGAGCTTACAATCTAAGGTCCCTATTGCAAACACATACTAAGACTGATTTAGACAGGAACAATTAACCTTCCAGCATGTCTTTGGTGTGTGGGAAGAAACCCATGCAAGCACAGAGAGAACATGTAAACTCCTTGCAGATAGTTTCCTTACTGGGATTCGGCAAGGCAGAAGTGCTAACCACTAAGCCACTACGCTGCCCATATGCATTAAAAGCTTGGGATATAAATAAATATATATATATATATATATATATACACATTCAAAAAACACC